TCGAGAGGCACTGGTGTCACTGGCACCTATGGCCTCAGGCAGTTTGACTCACTCTGCACTGTGAGGCTCCCGCAGGATACTGCCAGCCTAGGGACCTAACCAAGCAACAAAGTACCTTGTGTCCGCATACCTCCATTTCATCTCCAACTTCAACATCCCAAGATTTTAATGTTTTATTATTTTATCCAGTCCAACCTCACTCTAAGTGAAATGAGACCCACAGGGTTTTAGGATCTCACCTCAAATCACAAAGCCAATTAACAGCAGAGTCAGAAATGGAACTGAAACCTTCTGTTTTGCAGCTTGATGCTTCCTTCATCAGGTGGTGCTGCCTTTCTAGCTACACTTCCTTTCAGTACTCAGCCCTTACCCCCGCCTGTGTGTACGGTGTGTACTATGAACTGAAATCTCTCACAGGCTCTACACGTTACTGAACACTAGTGGACACAGTCCAAAGAGATTATTGCTTCAATCCCCAATACTTTGAAAGAGAAATAAAACTAACAATTCATTTGAAAAAGTAAATATGAAAGAAATGCATGTCACATACAGGTTCAAAGCTTCCTATGCACAATGATCACAGCATACAATAGGAAGCTTTCGTTCTTTCACTCTTTCAAACATTTAATGAGAGGTTATATAGTAGAGTGGTACCTGAGTTCACAAACAGTTATTTTCTTGTATCAGATTTCACTTTTAAAATTCAGATGAGGGCTCATAAATCTTAACTTGAGAGGGGCCTAGGAGTACATAACATTTATAAACAAAAATTTACATTCAGGTACTATTATATTTATGAAGTCCATTTTATTCCTGCCTATAATTTAGGCTTCTAGTTCTGTTAAAACTTAAATTTACTATGCTAAGAGGCTAGAATCCAGGTTTAATGTTCTAGTTATCTCAGTATTTTAACACTTTAGAAGAAAGACATTTGGAATCCAAAAGTAACCATCATCTCTAGGACAAAAATTATGAGTTACAGGGCTAGGGATTTAGCTCAGTGGTACTGTGCCTGCCTCACAAACTAAAGGTCCTTAGTTCAATCCCCGGTACCACAAACAGAACAAAACAAAAAAGAAATTACACATTATTGCAGTTCCTTGCATGTTAAACCTCATATCCACATGGCAGCTGCCCACCTTTAAGCCTTGGTGGTATAGGAAGGATCTCCCACCAACAGTAAATAATGTTAAATATGTAACCTGTTCACCAATAAAAGGAAGTGAAATTTTAATTTGAAGTGTTACAGTCACTTTATTGAGTTCAATGATGAAAGCTATCGGAATATTCTCCTGAAAATTTTTTTTTTTCTTAGGAAAAGAAAAAGAAAATGAAAACCATGGCATGGCCAAAGACGCTGTGGCTGTCAAGTCTCTTGCAGATGGAGACAATGTGTCACACCGGAGGCCACAGGATTGTGGTCTGATCACCCTCATTGTTCTCTAGCTCCAAGCCACCCATTCTCAGAACAGACTCATCTACTTCTACATCATGCCCGGCATCCTGGACATCAGATGTGTCAGACGATGATCTGTTTTAAGTAGTTGTTTGTCACTTAATTTGTTTCCTGCTTGTTCTTCTTTTATCTGTTTCTTAATTTTTAAGAGTTCTACATCAAACTTGGCTTTCTAACACATGAAATTCTCAACTGCAACAGGGGTGCCATGGAGTAATTCCTTCTTTGCTTCTTTTTCTTTTCTTTTCCTCCTCTCATTTCTATCTGATCTACTACTTCATATCCTTTTTCTTGCATGGCTGTCACTACAGTAACGATCATGACCAATCAAGATTTTCTTTAGCCTGCAATGCTAATAAATTTAAAATGTCTGTGCCATCATTATCTTCTAGATTTTCCTAGGAGAGTACTTCACAAAGATGACCTCATCTGGGTATTTTTCACTGTGTGTAAAATTGAGGGTTAATCTAGACAGTTTCATCAATTTCTCCGCCTCAGATGTCACAGTAATGATGAAGGTGCGTGGATACTCGAACACTGTAAAGGAGTCAGGGCAGATGGACTCAGAGTTTCCAGCTCGTTTTGCTACTCCTCCCTGTACTCTGTCATCATGGCCCTGGCTGCTATCCCAGATCATGCTAACACTTGGGCAATGACCTACAGCCAAGTCCCAAGGCTCCTGCCAGGCCCAGCCTGCTTTTTTTTTTTGGTACTGGGGATCAAATTTGGGCCCTTGCACTTGCAAGGCAGGTGCTGGAACCACTTAACTAAATCCCTGGCCCCAGCCTCTTCTTTTTTTCTTTCAATTATTTCTATTTTTGAGAAGGGGTCTCACTATGTAGTTGAGACTGACCTGGAACTCACTATGTAGCCCAAGCTGGTCTCGAACTCACAGCTATCCTCCTGCCTCAGCCTCCCAAGTGCTGGAAACAGGCGTGT